ATAAACTTAATTAAATACTAAATGAAAATGTGATATATTTTATATTTTTATTAATTAAAACAAATAAACATGCACTCATAAAAATACAAATAACTATACAAAAATACCACAAAAATAACAAAAATTGCACACAAAGAAAAATTATTTTATTTTGAATTTTTGAGAGTAATTCTTTCATAAGGCAATTGGGAGATTGCCCACTTGGGAGATTTAGGGTGTCCCAAGTCACCAATTTTAATCCCGAATCGAGGAAAAGAATGACTCCATATTACAATGACCTTTTGGGTCATCACACAACGCGTATTAACTCCACCTGCTGAGAGAATCAATTCACATCTTTAAGCATTTGCATTCCAATCTTGTGCACCATCTTCAAAAGATCTTTGGTAGAGATTTGATAAAAAAAAATCAACCATTTTAACTTTGAACGAATTTGTTTTACCTTGAAATCATCATCCCTAATAGATGTATTGTCTTCATATGATCTTGTTGGAATCATCAGTTCAATATCTTCACATAGAGGTGAAAACTCTTGCTATCATATTATCATGTCTATAGTTATAGCAAGATACATTTGTGCACAAATTGTACTGAGGAAGTGGTACTTCAAGATCAAGAATTGTATATGCTTCAAGCAACTTAAATCTTTCATGGATTGTCATATAAGTGAAGTCATATAAGCCATATAATAGACTTTAGATGCATATCAAGTTTTCATGTCATGTTAGACATATAATATATCGAAAATTGATTGCACATACCACTGACCTTATACTTTCAAGTGTTTGAACTACATGTCTTTCATATGAAACCAATTTTAATTGTTTCTTCAGAGTTAAGATCCTCATATATATATTTAGCGGTATCATAGATGTCGTCGACGAACATTTTATATCGGCTTCAACATTTTTAATAAAGACATAACATAGAGATCTCTTCATTCATTTCAGGTACCTAAACCTCTCCTGAGATTTTATGAAGTATTATGTCATGTGATCTTCTAGATCACTTGCCTCCTTTATTATGATCATTTTGATCATTTGCTCATCTTCTTTAACAAGAAGGTTATTTGAAACTAATTTGTCTATATGCTTTAAGTGTACCATAGACTTTGTCCTTCTAGGACTTAATAGGAGCATTTGCGACGAGAATATAGTTACTTTCTTTGGTCAGCAAATGCGTCTAGCATGCTTTGCAATATATTGCAAATGAATTATCTTTTTTTATGAACCTCAAGTTCATATTATCTTATTCTAGGATCTAGATGTACAAATGATAATTCATTCCACGTAACTTTTTCTCAATTGTTTATCATATCTCCCGCTCATGTTAGAAAACTAACTTGTTTTCCTCAACTTTGAGAACCCATCTTTGTGCGTTATGGTATTAATCAAAATATACCTCGCACACCAATAATAATAAGATAAAATTATTTGGTTACTGACCCTGAACCACTTGTGAGGGGAGAAAATAATATACTTTGGTATATAACGTATATCAAATTGATATAGATAACTTTGTTCTCATAAGCAATTGTTTAGCTATTAAGTGGAGGCACTCAATAAATTATTTTGCTAAATCAATCATGATGTAAACTAACTTATCAAGATAAACTATCTTGAATAAAAAATCTAAAAATTATGCTCTAAATCAAACTATTGAGCAAGTTACATCGCAAACATCATGTTACGGATTAATAATAATCATACATATAATCATCTTATAGATGCATCTTATGTGGTATATATGGCAGGTGAATGGGCCAATATTCACCTTTGATATTTCCAGCATTCATGGGATTCAATCCCAATTTTAGTTGGTCAATTAATTAATGAGAACAAGCAATATAAGAGAATTCGTAAAGAACTTTCTAGTTCTTTAATATTTACCCATGTGAATTCTCTATTATTTTTGCAGATCATACTTAAATTGATATGGTTATACCAATTATGCCAACTGAATAAATTATCAATATTGATAAACTTCATGTTTACACCATGATTATGAATAAACTTCAAGTTTATTATGATATGGGTTTTTATATCAATAAACTTCGACTTTATTGTAGCATTCTTTTGTTTGTGTAGTACAAACTGGAGAATAAAGCGTGTAGCTTTTCACATACATATTATCCCGCTACAAGTTGCAGTAATAGAAGATATTAAATCTTTTCTTTATTTATAGTCTCAATATAATCAATCGCTTTCGTGTATACTTTGGAAACTGAATAAATTTCTTTGAGACTTACTACAACATAATAGCTTATTGGTAATCAATTGTGTTTCTCTAAAATGGTATAATTGGTTCTTGCGGAGTTCTCAATTAATTTTGTAGTACCACATATTCATCAACATCCATATGGAGAATATCTCTTTTAAAGAGAGAGTTATACCGCTATGGCCATGGTTAACATTATGCAAGATATGTTTCTTGCATTACTATTATCCTTTAATAATCACATTGCCGAAATATTTTGGCGTACAATAGGTACATGACCAATGACCATTCATGTCATAATAAAGATATTATTTTTTTATATCATCTCAAACCTCCTTCTAGAGGTGAGTGTGGTATATTCACTACCACTAGCACGTTCATACTCTTCCAAAAATGAATATATATATTAATAAATCACATGTTGTCATATTCACATCTTGAATGGACCATAATCATTTACATGTGCTTTACAAAATCTCATGTCAAATCGATAACAACATTACTTCCACAGAGCGAAGGATTATTTTGAGAATCTTTATTGTTCTCATTACCACAATGATGACGATTATAATTTTGTTTATTGTCACGTCCACATCCATTGATACATTCATAGTAATAATTTTGTCTTCTTTCAGACTTATCACATACTGCTATCACATTCTCTTTAGGGAATGAGAATGAAGCAAATTCAATGGAACGGGTTTCCACTTCTTTGCCCATCATACATGAATTTAATCATGGCAAGACATAGAAATTTTACCACTTTGGGTGGTTATAATTTCTTTCAAACTCTATTAGAATTACAATCAAAATTTATCGTCTTTGTTTGTATTTAAAATCAAATTATAGAATTTCAAGAATTTAAAAGAGAAAAATAAAGTAAAATACTTACCTTAAATCCATAATTTAATCATGAAGGAAGTTCATGGAACAATTGACAATCATTATGCTCAATCACAAAGCTTATACTCAATTGGTTAGAGTCTCGTGCTGATAACGTGTTATAAAACAATAAAAGAAGAAGACCAGTATTGCAAAGAAAAGTAGGTAGAGAGAATTCTTATTGATTTTGGGATGAATTACAATGAAATATGACCCCTTTATTTATAGGGAAAGAGTGACTTAGCCACCAAGTAAAAATCCATAAAATCTCTATAAAATATAGACATTCACCTTAAATAGAATTCTATTTATAACACTTATCATGTTATTTAGGTCACGGATCCATACTCGCTGTAGAAAGTAGGGATTTTTACATGGTAGGTTAAACCCATTTAAGATTATTTATATATTGACTCCTAAATGATCTGACAGTGTAATAGTAACAAAGAAATTCTTTACGCTATCAAATAAATAAATAAACTAACTCATTTCAGAATATCTTCAACTGGACACCTATAAGGAAATAATTAATTGAATGTTAAGTCTATTGCTGACTTGTGAAGAATCTGTTAAAGTCATTATGTAAGTTTCTTTCCACTTATGAAATTAAACTGGCGATTGTCAATTTGAATTTAAAATTTCAAGGGTATCTTACCAAGCGTCATGTAAATTCAATTTAACGTGAACGAACCAGGCCAGCTATGTTCTGGAATCTTCATTTGTAAATTTACCTTGTTTGTCATAAATTGTGGGTTAACGTTATGAGGCAATCCATTATAAACAATGGGTCCAAAAATAATTTTAAAAATAATATAGCATCACTATTTAGTTGGAAGGGAACAATGGCAATTATTTTGCTGCATACCAAAAGAAAAGTTGAAATACTTCCATTTGGTGACATAAACTCGTAATGATGTATGGTTAGCTTAATTAACAAAGTCGATGTGTTTAATAATACTATTTAATTGATACCAAAATTCATGGCCGTTTATTTCTCGATGCATCCACATAGCTCATACTTGGAGTGATCTTTCTCTTCCGAGAGACAACACGCTTGCTTCTATGTGACAAATAGTTCCTAGTATTCAAATATTTTTATTGCTCCATTTCCACTTTGAAGAGTTCGCTAATCCTTCCTCCTTCAATCTCAGGATTATCATGTTCCAACTTCTACCATTACTGTTCCTGGGTTTATCATCCTTCAATAAAAGGATTTGGGTCCGTTTACTACAGAATGGGGATCAAAGCAAGGTGATGCTTCATCCTTGATAGATAACCTTCCCTTAACACATATCTGGTCCGATAGTGAACTCACTTAGCTTTCAGCAATAGAACTCTCAAAGCATCTGATTTTGCAGTAATTGCGTACTTTGCCTAAAAGAGACTTCAATAACCATAGCTTGTTATAATCTGGGTGTGATGTGGTTGGATATATATCCGAAGTGCTCCCAGCATAGGAGTCTATAATTCCATCCCTCTTGTCGATGGAGGTAGTACACATCTCGAAAGCATATTGGGAGTTGAAAGAAAAGCAAAACGATGCTTATAGCAGGTGTATAGATGGCCTCTGCTTGCCTTTTTTCTTTCAAAAGAAAAAATTTGGG